AAGCAAGTTCAATCGCAACACTATTCGACATCGCTCGCCTTATGGCCAAACATAACGGCAACTTCACTGATAATTGCAGACAAGCTGAAGAATCACTTGTTTTAAAGACAAAAGATTACAATCAGGCTGTTGAGCAAGGAGTACAACAGTTATTACAGCTCAACGATCTTAGCGACCATGCCAGACTACGAGAGGCAGCAATAGCAATTCAAGGGGCTCTGATCCACACCCCTCCCAACGCTACGGATGCGAGCAAGGAATGGTCGATTGGAAGCGTAGCTGTCAAGTTACGGACCTGGGCCAGCTCAGCACTTCCAGCACAACCAGAGAGATCCTCCTCCAGACGAGGAACAGCGTTCCAGGCTGATACCAGAAAGAGTAATCAGAATGGAAGAGCAAGCCAATCCCGATCAGATCGCAAAAGAGTGCGATCAGACAACCAGCAGGATAGCAACAAGCGACAAGAACTGAGCTGTGAAGCTTGTGGCCAGCCGCGACATGATCTTAGTTCCTGTTGGTCAGCTATCCCGGAACTTCGGCCTGAAGGAGTACCTGCGAATCACCGCCTAGAGGGGCTTGTGAGGAAAGTCTTGGCTGCCGATCCAGAACTAAAAGCCAAAGTAGCTGAGCTTCGAAAAGCAGCGCAGAAAGACCAGAAACAGCAGGAAGAGGAAAAGAAAGAAGTTTCATTCCAGTGACAATCAGCCGAGTCAAGCCTGGAGCGACGAATCGTTGGTCAAGCATTGTCACAAGGGGCTGCGTTCCCGACATGTTTAGGCACCTGTCTGCAAGCTGACCAGTATCCCTTGCGATCGTCAACCATTCTTGATTCTGGAGCTTCATTGGATATATCCAACGAACTTGCTAGGTTTAAGTCAATACGGAAGCCAAGGGCAGGAGAAGAACACTACCTCGTTGCCGGAGACTCAGAAGTCAAAATCGAAGGTTATGGCCGGGTTGATGTCCCAGTCATAAAACCGGACGGATCGATTGGGATTTTGCGAATTAAGGATGCTGCATTTTGCCCTACATTTGCTGTCAATGTTGTATCATTCCAGTGTCTTTATGATCGAGGCATCCGTTGGGATACAATATCGACTCCAACACGGCTAATCCATAAATCTGGAACATTAATTTGTATAGTTCAGAGATACTACAAACAATGGGTTCTCGAGTATCGGGAGACAACCGAAGCTAGCTTACAGGCAGCAGCCGCCTATATGGCCAGAAGGAGAAGAAGGACCAGCCAAGACCCAAGAGCAGAATCTGCTGCGGATGGAACGTTGTGGCACAACCGACTGGGTCATCCTAGCCCAAAGACCATTGAGCAGTTAGGAAAGAAATGCCTTGGGGTGAGGCTTAAAGGGCCGAAAACTGTGGAATGTGACCACTGTGGCCGAGGCAAGATGCACCGGCAGATATCCCGGAGGCAGCCAATCAGACCGAGCAACCCATTTGAGGAAGTCTGGGTTGATTGGACCGATCTTACGGAAGATTACCAAGGCTATGTCCGAGTTATGTTTATCACGGACGCATATTCAGGTCTTGTTTTTCCTTATTTTCTGAAGAGCCATGGCTTAGGCAAAGAAAACCGAAGAATCCTGCGAGACTTCTTCAACTGGATAGATGCTCAGTACAGTTTTAAGCCAAAAACTATACGATCAGATGGCGAACTATTCAGCAAGGAAGTCCGAAAGGAACTGAAACTTCGATCTATTCAAGCCAAAAGATCAGCCCCAAACACTCAAGCCCAAAATGGAGGGGCCGAGAGATCAGGGGGTGCAGTCATGGAAAAAGCCCGAACAATGCGCATAGCTGCACATCTGCCACACAACCTGTGGAACGACATTGTGGAGGCTGCTTGTTATCTACGCAATCGCACACCTCTTGAACGAAATAAATGGAATAGCCCATTCGAAAGCGTTTTCAAGAAGCAACCAATAATTAGTCATTTGAAGGCTTATGGTTGTAAGGCTTTTGCGATGACAGCAGACGCTCAACTCAAGCTTCAGAGAAAACAAAAGCTTGAACCAAGAGCACATATCGGGTATCTCGTGGGTTACCAATCATCAAATATCTACAAGATATGGGTTCCACACAATAATAAGGTTATCTTAACTCGGGATGTTGTCTTCAATGAGTCTAGTTTCTTTGAGAACAAGATAGCTCAGCCCGAACTACGACAAACCATAAGTCAGCTGCTGGAAGATATTGAAATCCCAGAAGAGCAGCAGGTTATGGAATCTATGCTCGAAGAAGAAGAAGCATTCAATCATTCTGACGAATCAGATGAAGAAGATATCCTGGATGAGATCGTCGTGGATACAAGCATGCAGGATGAACCGGACGGTGAGGACAATGAAGATACATGTGAAAGGTCAGACGAGCTAGGGTACCCTACGCCGCCACTGACAGACCCGGAGCTTGAAGAGAGTCCGGAGGCCATATTCACAGCCAGCCTTCCAATCCGTCACCGACCCGATCATCCTGAGGGGGTGGATGAAGGCCACAACTCAAACTGCTGCGATAACAAGGTGCAGCAGATCAGTGCCAACTACCGATTCCACGAATTCCATCCGATTCGAATTGAGACAGCAGTTCATGGTGCATTTAACGCTGGGATTAAGTTTCGACCGCATAAGAGAGACCTGCCAGATGCTCCAAAGACCATGAAAGACCTTGAAAGTCACCCATTCAAGGACCAATTTATCAAGGCGCAGCAAGAGCACCTTGCGTCACATGGCCAGATGGATTCTTTTGTTGAGGTTCCTTGGTCAAGACCTAGAGGTCAAAGGGTTCTTAGCTGCATGTGGGTATTTAC